TCAGCGAGCAGCCGCGCGGCAGCGTCGCCTTCACGGCCTGCTACTTCCACAAGAACAAGAAGTGAGTGCGCGGCTGGGCGCTTTCTTTGGCCTTGCCCCGTTGCCCTTCTCCCTCTCCCCCTAGACTTGCTTTTCGCTTATCTTTCTCCTCTTTCTTCTTCTCCCCATCTTGTTTCTCTTCTGATTGTCCTCCTTTTCGATCTTCTTCATTCTATTATTCTCTCTTCTTTTTATCCTCTTCCTTCTTATTTCCATTTTCTTCATTTTCTAGTTCTTTCTTCACATTCTTTTTTTCTTCTACTTACTTCTTATTCGTCTTCTCTTTCTTCTTCTCCTTTTCAATTTTCTTCATTTTATGGTTTAACCTATTCTTATTTCTACTTCATTATTTTTCTGCTTCTCTTCTTTCTTTCTTGTTTGTTCATCTTCGCCTCCTTTTTCCGTTTTTTCATTATTTTATTGTTTTTTTTATTATTACTCCACTCATTCTTCTTCTTTCCCCCTTCCTTTTTCTTCATTTCCTTCATCTGACTTTTCTTTCTTCTTTTTTTATTCCTTGTCCTCAATGTTCCAGTTAATATTAATGTCGAATACCAAAAGGAGGAATCCCTGCAATACTTGACCGTATGATTCATCATATTGACGATTATTATACCTAATGTTGTTACAAAAACCTAAAGAAGTATAGTAATAGGTACACAAGAAGTTACATGTAACTTTCTATGCCGAAAAGGGACGGACCGGGCATGTATAATACGTACAAATTTTTTTTTCATTATGAATCACAAAGCACAAGTAAAACTTTTTTAACATGAAAATACACGCAGGAGGCGACAACCTGAGCTACTTACATCGTATTTCATATCTAAATCGCGTACATCTTCAGGTATTCTTAAGGGCTCTTTGGCATCCGAGGTGACTGAAGAATTGGCATTTATTTTGGCTTAGATATGACAAAATACCTAAGGGAAATGAGCTTTTGGCATTTCTTCTTCGAAATAGAAGTAGACACAACAATATACATATTCCCGTATCTGTCATGGGGATGAAATTCGGAAACATTACAAGTGTAGGCACAACATTGTGATCAAGTTACGACACAAATTTCTAGAAAATGAAAGTGATGACTGATGAAAATGAAAATGATTGTAAGTACGAAACCATCAGCCATATATAACTTCTATATTCCCAGTGCTGTAGGCACCTCAGTCCAACCTGGGAAGTTTGTTTGGTAATATATTTGATGGAAAATGAAATTGTATAATTGTTTCAAAAACTTTCACTAATAATTTTGAATTTGTAATAGTACTAAGTTCATTAATTATTAACATAAAAGAGTTGTAACTTTTTTTTATTTTAAGCATTTAAGACATACTTTTACATATGTGTGTAACACCATATATAGGAAATTAATTGATATATCCTAAAATAAACTTTTGTAGTCAAAACAGTTTGGGAAACACTGCTCTACAGGATGCAATATCTACGAAACACAAGCAGAGCTTTATCTGTAAGATAGCGGAAACGTACTCATTACGCCGGCGCGGGGTAACTGCCTTTCTCGAACGCGCCTATTATCAGGCACTGAAACAAATTGTCGAGAGCCTAATTTACGTTCTTATCATAACCAAAATTTCTGTTAGCGGACGAAGTATATTCAGAAATGAATATGCCAACCAATTCTTACCGTGAAATTTCTTTTATTTAGAACACATTTTCAATTATTTGGTAATAATTTATTATTGTCTCGGAATTTCTGACTACCCAATTGTATTTATTAATTATCAATACACAGAAAAACTGATAGATATTCGATTTAGCTAGATAGCGAGGTTGAATTCGCCGCTATTCTGGAAGGGAATTATAGCGGCCGGCTGTTCTGAACGGTAGTTTTCTGTGATTTATCCGATCAATACCAGGCGAATGCCAGAACAGTACTCTAACATTCGGGCCACTGACCGCGTGCGATCTTTCCTTCCTCTTCTTTGTATCCTCACACTTTACATACATACATACATACACACACGCACTTGCATGCCCCTCACTACTGCACATGCCGGGAGCTTAGAGCTCGTCCCGGTTGGGGCGGTGCCCCGTTGCGGAGAGATACCTGGTTGGGGTAACCTTGCTGGCCGACGTGTAGGCGCCGGATCTCGCCATCCAGCGGTGGGGGGGGAGATTACCTCCAACTCCCGAGAAAATACATACACCACACTTAGAGACAAATGACCTAAACACGAATCAATCAAGACGTAGACGAAACACTAAAGACGAAAACGAAAGTGTCTGAATGTGAAGACGAAAGGGGAAGTCGAAAGACGAAAGGCAAGACGAGGACGATTGCCGAGACCTCTGCTGACACGAAAGTCTTAGGCGAACGGTTTAGGAGAATGACGAAAGATGAATAGGCAAGCCCAACTCTAAGTCTAATTATGAAAATGTTTGATGCAGGGTTACCAAAATTTTGCCCAATGGAGGACATTTCAATGAAAAGGAGGATATTTTATATTTTTATACTCTATGATGTATAAACTATGTACTCAACAATTCCAAACCATTAATAGTCTTTACAAAGCATATTATACTTCGCGTATTAAAGATGAACGATTTCGACTGGATAACTTCGCCCCCGCACTCACCTTCATTATCCACCAATAAATAAGCATAAATAAGCTTTATATCACAATAAGCTTAATGATCTATTTTGCAGACCATTTAGTTGAGTAAATATGTAGATATTCAAGACATGAAGTTCCTTTAGTGAATAAAATTATTTTAAAATTATGTCAGTACTATTTTCAATACAACAGAACAAAAATGACATTCCATGTAAATTTAAAAAAGGAGGGAAGTGTGGAATTTACAATATTTAAATTGGCAAATTATCATATATCAATAAAATAACAGTGGGTGACAGAATGCTACCAGACAGAAATTTTACTTCTTAAATTGGTATTTTTTGAAATTTCCAACATTGGAACAACCAGTTTAAGGAGAAAAATTGATTTCAATTTTTATTTTAAGAAACATTAGGAAGACTTGTGATATTTAACCTGGGATATAAATTTAATTTGGTTCCAATGTCATAATTGCCCTCGCATCAATATCTTAATTTCAGAAGAAAGGGGAAAAGCCTTAACGCCATTTTTATCCGGTAACACATACCTATGTTCCCTGTCCTCACAGCCCTTTGACTCCCTGATACACATGCATCAGCCTCCCATTTCTTCACAGCTCTGTACAGCGGCTCTGTTCATTCTCAGCCACCTGTGACCCACAAGCCTGCAGCAACTATTGGTACTGATTAGAGCTGGGGCGGGAAATTGACGGGTACATATTGTGCACATTGTAGTCCATAGAACCATTGATGCTAATTAAGTATGATGGTAATGCATATTGCCACCCCTGTCCCCAGGTAGACCAAATTCTCTATCAACTTCTAATCAGAGCATGGGAAGGGGCAGGAAGGAAAAGTGCATTTAGAAGTGAGTCATGGTGGTTTCAAAGCCCCAAACATGCCACTAAACAGGAAGTATTATATCATGTCTCTATAGGACTTGAACCTGCACCCACCAATGCAAGCTCCCAGTGTACTTGTGCGTTAGTGACTTCCGCCACTGGGCCTATTTTCGATAAGTAAAATGGAAATTACTAGGTGTAAAACTAACCCCCCACCTTCGTCTTATTCCTAGTTGAATCTAAACATAGTACTTGAATATTGATTAACAAAATGTTTCTTTAACTGAAGTTGAATCATCATTAATCACTTCCTGCATACCACATATTATCTTAAATGAAGAACAACTATTTTTTAAAAGATAAATGGTTCCTTAAATAACATTCATTTCAGGAATTATTTCCATATTGTTTATTTTTATTTTGTTAAATTAATTTTAAAAATTATTTTGAAAATATTTTAATGAGTTTTAAATATAATTAATGATAATTTTCATTTACAGATTGAGTATTCAACTGATAAAGCTGGAGAACCTGCCTCCCAAGGGAAGGGATGGAGTGTATGATGTGATAGTTCGACTGTGTATTCTACCTGCAGACAAACAGGCCAAAACATCAAAGATATTACGGGGCAGTTTGAGTCCTTTGGCAGAAGAAGATTTCAGTTTCAGAGTCAAGGAACCAGTTGGAAAAGCTGTGCGTTTCTCTGTTTTCAATGCCTTACTGCAAGGAAAGCATGATGCCATTGGGCATGCTCTTTTCAACATTGAAGACGTGATGAATGGAAGAACACGGCGATACACAATGAAACTTACCCATCAATCTCAGGTAAGAACATGAAACTTACACATTATTTGTATTATTAACAGGGCTCGGATTCTGATGACATGTCGTCTTTTCATTGGTGCATTTTTGACGTAGTAGCTAACTACTAATGCGGGTTTTGCATGACATAGGTGATAGAAATGTATAGTTATTGAGTAATTTTTTTCCATTTTTCAATTTTTAGGTAATTATTTTGGACTTTTACAACATTTTTGTTGTTTTTACACGTTTTGTTTCTTTTTCATGCTTTTTGTTAGTGAATGTTTGATGAATTTACAATGACACACTAAAATAAAGTTTTTATTGCATCATCACTTCATGTTGAAATTCACTACTGTAGTGTACTATTTGAACTCTCAAAATTACATAGATCTACGATAACTTCCTTGACCTATGAAAACTGACTGTTGGAAGATCAGAGCTGAGGGTTATATTACCTCCTAAAATAAACACTTTATATTAAATAAATTTCATACACATTTTTGAGTTATTTAAAAAAAAAAAAAAAAAAATTAGGTCATTATTTTTAAGTCATTTTATAGGTCATTTTCAAATAATTTTTAGGTCAACTAAATCTGAGCTCTAATTATTAATGTGCACAGAACTGGTGAAATCCTTTGTTTTGATTGAATTTTGATGGCCCTGGAATCTTTCCAAATTTCTGAGAAAAAAATATAGCTATTAAATATAAAAATTAATGGAACAACAATTTGGAATTCTTGAGTATTGGATTTGGAGGAGGGAAGATAGGCACATGTAGGAGGACCCTGCAAAAGCTTGGTAATATTTAAATAACGTAATCCTTGCTGAAATATTTAAAAATTAGGGAAAGATAAGTTAATATTTACATTAATAAAATTGCTATAATAACACTAAATAACATTATATAATGAAAGATGGAAGGAAAGTATTTACCATAAACATTTTTTGTCCCTGGTGCTGCTTACATTCTACCTTTGGTCAGGCTCTGCTTGATATTGATGAAATACACATATATCATAAAACAAAATAATATTATTAATGTTGAATTCTGTTTCAATATAATTTAATAAATATCACACTTTTGTGCATTGCTACCAACAGTATTAACTATTAAACAACAGCTTTTTTTTTTATTCCTTTTAATACTCATTTTAGATTGTTCATGAAATAAATCTTTTTTCAAAATTCTGTCGATCCTCAAAGGGTGAAGTGGCTTGGATATAGCGACAATTTCAAAATTGTCATTTAAAATGGACTAAATTCAATTAAGACCTCAAGAGAGTTAAGTTTTTTTTATATGAAGTGCAAATAGTGAGAAAAACAAGTAATAAATACATGCATAAAAACGATTTGTTAGGGGATAAAATTGGAGTGATAAATTATGAATTCTGTCAAAAAACAATTGAATTCATACTCTTGAATCAGTAAAATAAAGGTTCTAAAAATCAATATTTTCCAAGGTAATACCACTAGTGCTTTGGAAATTGTTGATAAATCCCCGACTCATGAAGCAAGGAGGGGATTTATCTGAGAAATTCCAAAGCACAAGAGACATTTAAAAGGACTATTCCACAAATGAAATTACATTCCACAGAGTTCCAAAATGCATCCAACAGAGTTCCGAAATATTGAAAAGAACTGAAAGCATGTTAAAATCAAACCGGTTATGTAATAGTACACCATGATTTATTGCATGTCAACACAGTGACTACTACATATCGCATCCAATGATAGATGAATCGCAACTTGTTGGGAGTAGGGAGGAGCAGTAAGAAAAATCAGATAGAAAAAGCAATAACTTTTTTTAGATTCCCATTTTATATGTATAGTTAAATATTATTAGCTTTAATTTAATGAGAGGAATAGTAATTGTATTAGATTTATGTATTAAAATAAATAATTTTCTTTTCCAGTTTTAAAGTAAATTGTAATTAAATTCAAATATTAATGGAAAAATAAAATATTAATATAATAATAAATTATATCTGATGTGCTGTCTTAAATCATGTGAATACTTTTCGTGAATTAATCTGAAATTGTAAATAAGAAATATCATTGCTTCTTAATCAGTTTAGAGCATGTTGCTGGTATATTTGTTTATAAAATCTTATATTTTTAGTTGGAACCATCTTTTGGAAGCCTACAAGTTTATCTTCAATTAAGTCAAGAAAGACTAATTGTTGATACTATACAAGCTCGGAACTTGTCAGTCAGTCATATATTTAAAGGTGCTCGTTCGGCAGGTATGTCATAAATGTTTTCTAATAATACATTTATTTTTTTTTTGTTATAAACATGGGGATGTGCTTTAAAATTGTAGGCAAAATAACAAAGGCTTTTTATCAATATGCAGAATCCATTGGAAAAAACAATTTTCAAATTTTAGAGAATTATCAGCTTGTGGTCCAAGATCCTATTTCAGTTTCACTATTCCTCCTTTACAATAAAGTTAGCACTCCCTTCTGCTTGTGGATACTAAATATAGATTTTCTATCTGCACATTTTCTTGTACAGTCAAATTACTTTATGCAGGAGGAGTAGGGATCTTTGTTTGAGAACAGTTCTATCAAATCAAATATTTGGCAATGCATATAGTTTTTATTATAGCGGTGAAACCTTACTTGTTATCAAATATTATCTAAATTACTTTTGTGGCAATTTGTCCCCCCACAATGTGGGCAGACTGTACTTCCCCTAAGCACCAAATACAAATAGTAAAGTTCCTACACTATTTTTTACATGAAATAAACAATTATATAAAATATTTAAAAAATGTATTAAAATTATTACTAGGTTTGATCCAATAATGATATATTCTATGAAGTGTTTGCAGATGAATTAATAATTTGTAAATTATATCACAAATGATTGTACCATTATTTAAATTGCATTATTCTTTACCATAATCACTTTAATTTCAAAAAAGTTTAACACATAACAAAATCACACTAAATAAATCTCTTCAATTTCAGAGAAGTTCAACACTTACATCAAGATTACTTTCTACTGTGCAGGGCAAAAAGTGAAGTCTAAGAAATCAACTGTGGTTACAGGTGATCGCAATCCACGATATGAATACAGCTGTGATTTCAAAATACAGTCCAATAGTGTAGATGATTGTTATTTGGTGCTAAGTGTGGTGATGAAAGCCAATTTACGCAAGGACATTACTCTGGGGCGGTATATATTCGGGCCTTCCTTCTTTACAGAGAGCCGCGATCTCACTCCGTGGGGGCGAGTGGTTTTAAATAAAGAAGAAGTTCATCATTGGTTTCACTTATACCATTGACCAATGTATTCTTTCTGAATATAACTGAACTTTCTGAATATTTCAAAATATTTGAATTCTTGCCTAATTTCAATATTGGGCAGTGCAATAATATTTCATAGGAAAAGCTTACAAATATTTTAGAACTTTTCTTATAATTTTAAAAATTATTCAATATATATTTGTACATACAAACCTCAATATTTGTATATAATTATAAAGATATATTTTATTGCAAATATGTAGAATAAGTAGTTTGTAAAGAATTGCTTTGTGACACTGTAAATTAATTAGAAAATACACATTATCTAAAAAAAAAAAATATTGCAAACTTGACATTTTACTTTAGAAAAAAAGGTTTAAATATAACAATTTCATATTCCATACAACCAACTACAAACAAAAATTAACCTCTCGGTTATTGTTTCATCCAAGAACTTATGAAAACTTGTGTGGAGTTGTGTGGAAAGCAACGGAACTTTTGACACCTGAAAGCATCTATTTGTGTGTAACCCTCCAAACTTATTGGACTCACAAACGTATGGGTAAAATAAAGGTGGACATCATACCCTTTTTCATCTCCCAGCTTAAAAAATCCTTATTTAAAAACATTTTTTTAAAAAAGATTTTTATAAAACCATCATTTATGTAATTGATCCTGATAACTATTTTTGATTCATGACAGTTTTATTACAAAGAATTTAAAAATAACATAAAAGATAATTTACATTAGGAAGATTCTTGAGTGATAATAGGCTAAGTTTCATTAGTGTAGGATATGGTTATGAGTGTGATAAATTCCAATTTTTAAAGTGTCCTAATTATGAATAAATATTTATTTCAAAATTTTAATGTGCATCATTACTAGTAATTAACCATGGCATTGATAAGTACGTAAATACCCACAAAATCATACTAACAATTCAATCACATCCTGAATAAAATACATCATGTCTAGCACTCCATATTATTCATAAATAAGTCAATATAAACAAAATACTTGCAAACTCCTATCCAAATAAAAGTGCTGTGAAATTTATAGGCAAAAATAGATTAATGTAGCATATAACGAAACAGAAATATGTAACAGTAAAGGATTGAACTCTTATTTTGAGAGAGGGGGGGAGAGAGAGGGGAGGGAGAGAGAGAAAGAGAAGAGAGAGGAGAGAAAGAGAAGAGAGAGGAGAGAAAGAGAAGAGAGAGAGGGGAGAGAGATGGAAAAAAGAGAGCGAATACACACACATTGTGAAATTATGCTGATGCCAATTGAATAGACCTGCCAACTGTGGGATAATGGCTAAGGAAGAAGATCTACCACAAAATTAATTCTTTGCAATTTGTGTAGATAAAAATATATTATTTAAACAATTTTTATGCTTCTCTACCGTCCCTTCCCCTCATGCTCACTGCACCATTATGCTGTAATGTACTTAGGTACATAAAAATGTAATGTGAAAAAAAAATGCAAATACATTTTACTTTGTACTGAAATGAAATATATTTCAAAGTAGATTACATACATTACTTATCATGAAACTAAGTACTGTGCTTTAAAATAAATATAGAAAGAAGGAACATTCTTATTCACCTACAAATTCTATAGATATAATAAAAACATAGTTATTGCTCTCATTTTGGTGTCTGTGTATATTATGCACATATGCACACAATGTTATCATGTATTACCTTCAAAGACAGTTCTTGGGAAACCACTTGAGCAGTGATTTCATCTTGTACTGCAGGAAGGACATCTTTCTAAGAGAGGATGAAAACAAATTGATTGTTAGTAATTTAGAAATTGAAATATAATTATATTAATGTACTTCTGACAAAAAATTATATTATATATCAAAATAATTGATTACAGAAGTTATAAAAAGTAAATTTGAATGATAACACTGGCTTGCGATGAAAAATACAAGAGAATTGATAGCAGAATTATATGTATTTTTTGGTGCTAATTTAAAATAAAAAATAATCAACAATTTCTACCACATCACGTTTTGTTAAGAAATTCAACTTTACTTACTTTGAACATATACCTTATTTTATTTTTCTTTCGAAAGAGCCAGCTGAATTGTTGGGCTCCAGATTGAAAGGAAAAGCTTGGGCAAAGGAACCTGTTTTTATTGGTACAGGAATAGAGAAAAGGAATTTGTTAAGTACCTACTTGAGGAAGAGGGGAACCCGATCAACTGACCTGATGTTCCTAAATTGATGAACAAATTTAGTATCCCCTACGAGGCTGTTTATAGGTTCATCGAAAAGGAGCCTTAAAACTGCCTGCTGTATCAAAGAAGCCAGTAATCATCTATACCAGTTGGATACTTGATGTATTTAAACAAATACTATGAAAACCTGGCTCTCGTCCTCAAGAAAATAAAATATGCTGATTACGGATGGACTATATGCGGTGATTTGAAAGTTGTCTCAAAGCTCCTTGGTCAACAAGGCGGATACACAAAGTTCCCACGTTTCATTTGTGAGTGTGACAAGAACAATAAGACTCAACATTGGGTCAAAAAAGAATGTTAGGAAAGACACAATCTTGAACCAGATTCTTGAATCAAGAATGTGTGATTCGAAACATCTTAGTTGAGCCAAAAAAATAAATGTTACCCCATCTGCAAATAAAACTAGGTAAAATTAAGCAGGTTGTCAAAGCTATTCCAAAAAATGGGGATTGTTTCAAATATCTTTGCAACAAGTGTCCAAATCCCAGTGCAAAATTGATAGAGAGAATTCCAAATACGTTTTTAGCAAAAATATAGATATCAATTTTACAAAAAAAACCTGATGTGATAGAAAAACAATGGAAGTCACTTTTAACATCAACATACCAAACAACATAAAAAACAGTGAAAATTTTTCTTGCATTTTTCAAAAATGTCAATTTTGCAGTACTCTGTTATGCGTCATTCACAATATTCTCTACAAATAACCACTCAACATGCCTAATTAATAATAAAATTTCCTCTGAATCTAATACAAAAAATATTAATGAGAGCCCTTTAACTTGGGACATTGCTGAATCTGAAAAATTCAGATTTATTTACACAAATGAATAAATAATAGACTACTTATAACATTTGTCAAGTAAAAAATTGAAACTTACGTACAGTAGACAATTTTTTTAACAATTACTTTACAGATACAAAAATATATTTTATGGAATTTTTCGAATGATTTACGTTCTTTCTCGAGCAAGCCCTTAGCAACTTCTTATTTTGCTTGTTGATAAATCCAGCCTTGGGTGTTGAGGTACCAGAGGATTTAATTTCGCCATTTTTTAACTTTAAATCACCAAAGCCACTCGCTTTTGAAAAAAAATCGAAGCACAAACCGTTTTCGGGTGTGAAAAGAAGCTGGGTTATTATTTACTTACTGGAAATAAACGCCATTTTTGTTCGTCTAGTGTCCTCGTGGTTTGTAAAAATGAAGTATGGATTGATTCAGCGAAGGTAACAGAGCTCCCGACCGGCCTACCAGCACGTGAGGTAGTGTAGTGCATGTAAGTGTGTGAAAGGGGGTGAGTATAGCACTAGGAATGAGAAGGAAAAATCGCGCGCGGTCCGTGGCCTATTTGGTAGGGAAACTGCCGATCAGAGCAGCCGGCGGCTAGAATTCTCCGTAATCTAGAGCGACAGAATACAACGTAACTACTCGGCTAGGGTCGAAAATCCTGTTACCGTCGGGACTCGAACCCCTGGACTTCTCGGTCACTGCAGTGACATCTGTTGATGCCCTGACCACTTCTACCGGTGAGATTACAATTCAACTTTGTTTGTACCATTATAGACATCTTCGTTTGCCAAAACGTTCACTGAATCGATTGTAATTTTCATTGTGTTGTGTGCTCCTCAATCGCCGTGCGGTTGGCAAAACGATTTCTAAAACGTTACAATTATCAGGTTGGCAATACGTAATCAAATGAAGTACGCATGCCACATAGGTTTCCCATAAGTAAACTTCGTTTGCTTTAGTGGTTGTGCGAGCTTAAAGTGATGATCAAAGTATACCATTTTTTAAAAAACGTCGGAACACAAAAAGTAGTATTCGGAATTATTTAATTTTTTTAACGCCAAAAACAGTTAAAAGTGCATGACGTGACGTACAATGGAGAGGAGTATGTTTTGTGCACGTTATATTAAATTATGGGATCTTAACCCATATTGAAGTTGAACTCTGTATACAGATGGAAACGAGAGCTTTTGGCAAGAATTGATAATACTATATTTGCTCCTATTAACACTAGTAGTTTACGCAATTAGTTTATAATGTTATGCTGTATTGCATGAATACATGTTTTGAAACGAGCCACGTTAGGAGCGAGTTCTCAAATCTGTACGAACGCAATAAAGCAACATTATAAACGAATTGCGTACGCTGTTTTTTGGATAACAGCATTATAAATTAATGAGAATCAAACTTCATTTTGCGAACCAACTTTCTTGTGATGTCTCGGGTATTTGACATGTGTGAGAAAACGGTGGTCGGCTGTTCCGTTTTCCTTTACCTCCCCACTATTATCTCGCTGCGATTGGTTGAATGTGTGATGACGCAATCATTAGTGCCGTAAAATACTCGATTATAAACGATTTCTTACAGCAGAAAAGTTCATTTATAACGCTAGTGTATATAACTACTATTTACAAAGGCAAATTAAATATAGAGTTTGGTTAATGTTCATCATTGTGTCCTTCGTGAAGGAACCACCTTCTTGCCGCAAGAACACGGAGAATGATAATTTGAATAACAATACTTCCCACTGAACTACAGAAAATGTGCACAGATCAAGCAAAACAAGAAGCCATCTCAGTATTCGCTCTAGGGATCGGGGAAACTGCACGCAAAATCTGATACGACTATCGACTATCTGAATCGATATACAACTTTCCATCTCTATAAAACTTTTCGGCACGTTAATGAGTCCTTGCCAACACAACCAAGTTAGACCAAACCAGACACAACACGTTACTCATCTAATAGTTACAGTAAATTACGCTTGATGGCGCCCCAGTGAAAGTGCATTTATTCCACGATGATTACAATTCGTAAATTCCATTTCTTCAGTAAGAGTTGTTATCCTACACCACTTTTTAAAAATTAAATTAATATTTTGAACAGTTTTTAATTTTGAATTCTGTATAGTTTTGTAATAAATATTTCGATTCCGACGGTTGGTAGGATTCGACCTAGCTTGTCAACTAGGTCGAATTCAGCCGCTGCCTGGAGGAAAATTCTACCGGCCGGCAGCTCTGATCGGTAGTTCTCTACGGTTCCTCCGATCATCACATGGCGAATGCCGGAGCAGTACCCTAATAAACGGGCCACGCACCGCCCGCGATCTTTCCTTCCCCATCCTTGTCCTATCTTCACTCCTTATTTACACACACTAACATGCACTAGGGCGACTAGTCTGGAGCTTTAGTACTTGTCTCAGCAGGGACGGTGCACCACTGATGGGAGATACCTGATTAGGAAAAACCCCGGTAGCAGACGTATACGAAGGGAAAACTACGACGAAAAGACGAAGGGATAGCAGATGAGCGGAATATCACCCACATTCCGACGAAACACATGGCCCACGCTTAAGTGACTAATTACATTAGCAGTTGACACGGCAGTAATCGCTAAACAATCAACGAATTGTACCAAAACTTGAAAAGAAAAATAAATTTGTAATTACTGAAGAACAACAAAGAATAGAGCAATATGGCGTTTATGTCATCTTATAGAGTACATTTAGCACTATTCCTCCAAAACGTTTGCAGCTAAAATTTGGAGCCGTTTTTGTTGTTTTTTCAAATTGCGCATATAGCTCGCAATATCACGCGAAAAGTCCAAACCCGGAGTCGTACCGGCGCGTGGGGGGTCAGGGGCGGAGCGGCGCCGAGGCGTTGCCGAAGGCGCAACGGCGGAGGCGTGGGCAACGGGCGGCGCGGGGGCGGGGCCGCGCGGGCCGCGCGCGGCCCTGGCAGGCGCAGCAGATGCAGCGAGTCGCGCCGCGAAGACGTCGTGCTGCTGCAGCGCGAACAGTGCGTGTCTCCTGCAGTCGCGCGGCTGGCGCGCCACCGTCCACACGCCCGTCACCGTGTCCGCGCCCCCGCACACGCGGCACTGCCCTGCAGCACGCCAGAACCATCTAGAAACGATTCCCGAATCGAA